ACCAGCACAGACTGCAGCAAGTTCACCAGCACATTTCCATTTAATACTCTGTCACACTTGTTCTCCACGTCTGAACACTTTCAACACTTGCTGGACTCTCTCCTTTGAAGGAGCTGCCAGGGTGGAGGACGCCACGTGGGTGTGGAGATACTGACGAGCCCCCGGCTGAACTCAGCTGCTCAAAGTTGTGGCCAGTAAGCAGGATTGGGGAGTAACGGATTACAGGTGACGGCTTTACGTAATCGGGATCCAAAAACAGTAGCTGTATTCCGTTACGTGGCACACCTGAGGTAGTGTGAGCACATTTCACCTGCTTTCATACAGGTCGGTAAACTGTAAATAACCCAGAACTACTGACTTTATAACATCAGGCTTTACTAACGTGATTCTTTGTTAAACGTTTAGAGTGTGTACAATGATTTCTGACATGTATAAAGAAAGGAAGTCAGTTTGTCCTGTTAACGTTTTCCCGCGATGTCAATTTTTCTTTTCAATTCAATTTTATTTATATAGCACCAAATCACAACAACGGTTATCTCTGAGTGCTTTTCATGAAGAGCAGGTCTAGACCGTACTCTGATGTTATTTAAAGAAGCCCAACAATTAACACCAAGAGCAGCACTAGGAGACAGAGGCAAGGAAAAACTTCCTTTAAGAGGCAGAAACCTCGAGCAGAACCATGGCTCAGGGTGGGCGAGAGAGAGAGAGAGAGAGAGAGACAGAGAGAGACTACACAATGTACACACAGAGGTACAGACAGTAAAGGTGAAGTTTGCTATAGACTGAATGAATAATGGTACAGATATTTACAGTAATGTTAATGATTATAATAACAATAATAATAATAGGACTAGTAACAATAGTCGTTGTAGTAGAGGGTGTCGAGCAGGAACACGGGGGCAGCAGGTGACCCGCAACCACAGATCCAGAGGGAGAGAAAGTAGAGGAGAGAGGAGCTCAGTGCATCATGGGAAATCCCCCGGCAGTCTAGGCCTATAGCAGCATAACTAAGGGATGGTTCAGGACTACCTGAGCCAGCCCTAACTATAAGCTTTATCAAAGAGGAAAGTCTTAAGCCTACTCTTAAATGTGGAGATGGTGTCTGCCTCCTGAACCCAAACTGGAACCTGGTTCCACAGGAGAGGAGCTTGATAGCTGAACGCTCTGGCTCCTAGTCTACTTTTGGAGACTCTAGGAAACACAAGTAACCCTGCATTCTGGGAGCGCAGTGCTCTGGTGGGGTAGTAAGGTACTATGAGGTCGTTAAGATAAGATGGTGCCTGACCATTAAGAGCTTTGTAGGTAAGAAAAATGATTTTAAATTCTATTCTGGATTTTACTGGAAGTCAATGCAAAGAAGCTAAAACAGGAGAAATGTGATCTCTTTTCCTGGTTCCTGTCAGAACACGTGCTGCAGCATTCTGGATCAGCTGAAGAGTCTTAATGGACTTTTTCGAGCAGCCTGATAATAAGGAATTGCAGTAATCCAGCCTAGAAGTAACAAATGCATGGACTAGTTTTTCTGCATCATTTGTAGACAGGATGTTCCTGATTTTCGCAATATTAGGTAGGTGAAAAAAGGCGGTCCTTGAAATTTGCTTAATGTGAGACTTAAACGACATGTCCTGATCAAAGATAACTCCAAGATTCCTCACAGTGGTGCTGGAGGCCAGGGCAATGCTATCCAGGGAAACTATATCTTTAGATAATGCATCACGGAGGTGCTTAGGCCCCAGAACAATAACTTCAGTTTTATCTGAGTTTAACATTAGAAAATTACAGGTCATCCAGGTTTTAACATCCTGAAGGCACATTTGAAGTTTACCTAACTGATGAGTTTCATCTGGTTTGATCGATAGATATAACTGAGTATCATCTGCATAACAATGAAAGTGTATGGAATATTTCCTGATAATATTGTCTAAAGGAAGCATATATAAAGTGAAGAGGATTGGTCCACATTCAACTCTCCTATTCGTTTGCACTATTGTTCTTGTGGTTTTAATTTTTTTGAGGTTTTTATGCACAGCTCCTCTTCTGGTTACCTTTGATTTAAATAATTTCAATGTGTTTTGATGGCTCGTGTTCACTGTAGATATTCCAGATGTCTGTTTGATAAGATGTTTATAATTAATATACCTTGCCAAAATGACTGACTGCAGGTACCTGAATATTGATACGTCTGTTTTCTGCTAAATATATGATTAGAACATGTAACGAGCATTTTCTAGTTACATTTCTGTGGACTGTGATTATTACACAAGGTTAATGTCAGTGTTGACACATTAAAGGGGCAGTACGCCTAAGCTCAAGTTAGATTAGACGTATATTAGACGTAAATGGTAGTGTTTAGAGCAGTTACATCCTGTAAGGAGAAAAGGTCTTTAAATGACTAAAGATGTTTACTGAATGTGAAAGTCAATGGAAATGTGTTTATCACAGAAACAGTAAGTGACCAGAGTGAGAAGAGGTTTTATTGAAATGGTGAGAGTGTTAATATATGATGAAACTTTATTGGACCTGGACATTGAACTGAAATGCTCAGAACAGAAACGTGTTGTGTTGACATGATTTTGAGTTGTTTAATAAAACAACCAGAGAAGCAATCTGGAAGGAAACGAGACGCACCGTCTCTTCATTGCTGCTTCACACCTGCTTTCATACAGGTTACATATCTGTGACTGAGGTACCCATCCCTGGGCCCCGTAACAGGTACAGTACAGAAAATAAAGACGTCATCAGATTACAGGTACATCTGGAATTACTCATAGGGATTACTTTAAGCAGGAAGTTTCCATGACACAGAAACGCAGTGCTGTTTGCCTCCGTATATGTTTTTTATCTGCAGTCTGTGGTGTCGGGGCTTAAAGCAAGAAATCTTTTTGTGCCTGAAATGTGTTCGGGGTTTACTGCAAAGATGGAGGGTGGGGGGCCAGAGCCTGACTCTGTGTTGAAAAGTGATGGGGACGTAGGGGCTCAGATTAGGGGTGTGTCATACACTTAGCTCAGGAAACATGAGGAACCACGATACTGGGTTCACAAGAACAAGATGAGAAGATAAGTGTGCACTGTTTTGATGAAATGTTCAATGTGGAAATACATGGGGGGGGTCACTTCCTGCATTCTGGTAACATTTTCTGCCACCACCTCTAATCAGTGCTTGAAGTGGAAAATATAGGTGCTGGTACTCAGGGCTGGGCAATACAGCCGAAAATGTTACCACGATAAAACATTTCATCTCACTCAACATGGATTATTCTCAGGATAAAGGTCAAATCATTGTTTCTTTCAGGTTTGATTTTATTTTTCTTTTTTCAACCTGTCCTGCCCAGCAGCCTGGTAGAGAGTATGATGAGCTGGATGTTGTGCCAGACAGATTTTACTTTAACAAGAGAGTATTAATTTACTCCTTTGTCTGTTTTATTATTTATTTAATTATGCATTGATTTGTCACCAGGGGGGCAGACACGGGGATGGGGGGGCACAAACAGACAGCACAGAGAAAGGACAACAAGAGAACGGGGAGGGGGGCAAACAAACAAACAAAGAGACGACCAGCCGAACAGCAACCAACAGCTGATATAGGAAGACAACTGAGAGAGAAATGAAAACAAGAAACAGTCAAGCACAATAAATAAAGAACACAGCACAGCCAGGAGAGCTGGAATCAGAACAATTCATTTAAATGAAAACTGAGAGAAAAGCATCAAGAATAATTCTACCAGGGACAACCTACATTTGTTTGTGCCTGTGTGTGTGTGTGTGTGTGTGTGTGTGTGTGTGCGCATAAGCCTGTTACAGAATGTAGTTGTTAGTGAGAGTGTGACGCCACAACTGTGCTGCACCGACCCCAGAAACAGGCAGCCAAGAACCCCAGTAGCCAATAAGGGAGGGAGAAAAAATAACAAAACTACTGCGAACAACCAAACCGCCAAAACACAGAGATGTTGGGCTGAAGCAGCAGGTCTGTAAACACACAGATGATGAAAGGTCACATTCACCCTCCGTTCAACAAAATGGCCCCTGAAGAAGGAAGTGATGTCACAGGTCTGACACGGGAACAAACATGGAGCAGAGCGATGACAGACTGTAAAAGGAGGGACTGGATCCACCTGGTGGGACGTCCCCAAACACAGAGACAGACAGACAGACAGGTTCCTCCAGGTGTGTCCTGTCAGGTGAAGCTTCCAGAAACAAGCCCACCTCTCTACACTTTAGGACGTCACTGTCCTGGAGAACTTTACAGTTCAGTCCAATGGAAACCACTGAGACACTGAGACAGAGGAGAGGACACACTGGAGACATTACTGTCATACATGATGTCATACATGATGTCACTGATGGGCTTACCTGAGCAGGTGAGATCCAGGATGGAGGAAAAGTAACGTGATGATGCACACTCCCTCAGAGCAGATCCAGACTGAACACAGACAGAGCTGATCCACCACACAGGTCTGACTGAGGACTCCTTTCTCTGTCCTACAGAAACAGCAGAGCCACAGTCCAGCTCTCTACAGACAACAGCTGCTGTCTTCAGGGTCCAGACAGAGACACTCCCTGGTCTCCAGTCTCCCTGATGTTTCAGCTCCAGTGTTCCTGCACAGCGACTGGCTCCTCCCACCAACCTGACATCATCAGGCTCTGAACAGAAACCAGAGAGTCATCAGTAAAACAATAAAGTGAGTTTCATCAGAAGAGAAATGAAGCAAATCAAAGCTGCAGCTCCTCTTCTACCTGAGCAGGTGAGTCCAACAGCTTTTCCAGGTGAGCAGGTGTTTCTAGCTGAGCCTGAGCTTCTACAGTCCAGGAGAGCAGACTCATGGCCTCCACACTGGAACTCTTTGGTCCACATCGGAGCCTCCACTTCTCCATAGAGGGTCCCATGGAGGACTGAAGGAGCCCCACAGCCAAGCTCCCTACAGACCACCTCTGCATCCTGCTGGTCAAAGTCAGCTTCACACACTGAGGACCACCTCTGGTTAGACTTCACCTCCAGTCTGCCTGAGCACAGACTAGTCCCGTCCAGCAGCCTGACAGAGTCTGGAGAGATAATAGAAGATGAAATGGAGATAAAGACAGCAGATGCAAAAGAAAAACATGTCATGAAACAACAATTCAGTGATTCAAAGTGGACTCAGCACAACTCCAACATCAGTTCATCATTAACAACAGAACACATATTTCTACCAGCACAGACTGCAGCAAGTTCACCAGCACATTTCCATTTAATACTCTGTCACACTTGTTCTCCACGTCTGAACACTTTCAACATGTTTCCAAACAACAGCACAATATCATCATCTGCAGATTTCTCTGCTCTGTTCCTTCTGCTCAGCTACTCCACAATCTTTGCTCTCCACACAAACAAGTTCAACACTTTTCATTCTGTCTTAATGTTCTAAGAAGATCTGGAACCCAGAAGAAAAAGCTGCTTAGAAAATGCTCCAACAACTCTAACAGGGATAGGGGCTGGACTCTCTCCTTTGAAGGAGCTGCCAGGGTGGAGGACGCCACGTGGGTGTGGAGATACTGACGAGTCCCCGGCTGAGCTCAGCTGCTGTAGTCGTAGAAAGTCAGACCAATGTGCGCCGTTTTCCAACAAGCCGCAACATTCTGAGTGTTCCCTTTGAGAACTAAGCCTATATTTGCATTTGGAACGTCAGCGCGACGACTTTCTTTGGTGTCAGTGAAGGTTAGCAAAGTGTCCACTACTCGCTCCTCTCTCTCCCTTTGACAACGGACCTGTCTGTGATCAGCCCCTCTTTTTCATTCACAATCCAATTCAGAATATGTGCTGGAGGAAGTGACTATACAGTATCTAAACATCTACAGCTGCTTTTATCTCAAACAGTCATAATGTGTGAATAAGCATCACTTTATGTCCGTGGTAACAAAGGGATGTCTTTGTGAAAGGTTAATGTTTCTTTTAACTGAATAATCACAGTTGAAATGTTCAGTTTATCAGGCCTGACAAAACGTTATGTCACGGCTGGCAGAGCAATGACACAATCTGCAGGAAAGGTACCATTACCTTTATTTTATACTAACAGAAACAACTTCATATTCAAAAAGTCATATGAGGTTTGATAATCAGTAGATCAGTCATGTCAGCAAGTATGCATGCTTGAAGGAATAGTGAGGAAAGTGTTGAATGGTGAAAGAAACAAAAAATAACAAGGAGCGTGGAGCGTAGGGAACAGGGTTTCCCTCCTCTCTAGCCCTCAGTGCAGAACAAAAGACAAGCTCTTATAGTGGAGAACACCGGGCCCAGGTGGCTCCAACAACTGATGATTTTAACCACGCCTCCTGACATCTGTAACACAGGATACAGAGACACAGACATCCCAGCAGCCGAGAGATGGGGACATCACAGTTATTATAAGCAATAAAATTAGCCTGTTGTTGCTGATGAAATTTGGGTTTGGTGGCCTCTGTTTAATGTCCTTATTTATATTTGGAAAACAGACAGCAGTCTTTAATTAACATGATTCAGGCCTGGGTTAGGCTATAAATAAAATCCACCTTTTTAACAGTGGTTGTAGTGTTGTATTGGCCAAAAAGACAGAGTAGCTCAATCAGTCCTTATTATCAGTTGCAATACATTTAAATAGCTATTACAGCCCATAGAGCCTATGCAGTTTAGGACTTGCCAAAAAACTGATTCCACCTCACTACTTGTGACTAAAAGGTTCTCAAAATGACTTGATTTCAGTCATGAGCGTTATATGTGAGTTATGGCTGATCAAAGCTCACTCAGTCCTTTTAACCTGTTGAAATAGCTTTAAAGAGCCAATACAGCCAGTAACAGGTAGTTTTCCACTGGCCAAAAAGTGACTGCAGCCTCGACCTGTGACTTAAAAAGAATAAATAGGCAACAAAAGTCTGTCTGGGCAGTGTGGAACTGAGAGATGGTTTTCTGAACATACTAAAGACTGAAACAAACTTCAGAATGTTGCTGTTAGTTGGGCACTGAGCAACCAAAGACCCTGCTGGTGGAAACCAGTGGCTAAGAAAGCCGTCAAGCTGAAGGAGGAGTCCTTTCAGGCTGGTTGGTGGTTGGCACCGGGGCCTCCTGAAACAGCAGACATGTTTCATATGTACATATATATCTTGGTGCATTCAGCTCCTGATTTACTGAGGCAGCAGCTCATCAGACTCCGTCATGGCTGCCAGAGACAGTCTGCTGCCATTCTAGCTGCTGAGTGTGAGTCAACCTGGGTACATTACTGTCAGAGATGATGTCATAGATGATGTCACTGATGGGCTTACCTGAGCAGGTGAGCTCTACGATGGAGGAAGAGGTAAAATATAATAGTACACACTCCCTCAGAACAGATCCAGACTGAACACAGTCAGACCAGATCAACCACACAGGTCTGTCTGAGGACTCCTCTCTCTGTCCTACAGAAACAGCAGAGCCACAGTCCAGCTTTCTACAGACACCAGCTGCTGTCTTCAGGGTCCAGTCAGAGAAAAGGTCACTCACTGGTCTCCATTCTCCCTGATGTTTCAGCTCCAGTGTTCCTGCACAGCGACTGGCTCCTCCCACCAACCTGACATCATCAGGCTCTGAAAAGAAACCAGAGAGTCATCAGTAAAACAATAAAGTGAGTTTCATCAGAAGAGAAATGAACCAAATCAACGCTGCAGCTCCTCTTCTACCTGAGCAGGTGAGTCCAACAGCTTTTCCAGGTGAGCAGGTGTTTCTAGCTGAGCCTGAGCTTCTACAGTCCAGGAGAGCAGACTCATGGCCTCCACACTGGAACTCTTTGGTCCACATCGGAGCCTCCACTTCTCCATAGAGCGCCCCCTGGAGGACTGAAGGAGCCCCACAGCCGAGCTCCCTACAGACCACCTCTGCATCCTGCTGGTCAAAGTCAGCTTCACACACTGAGGACCACCTCTGGTTAGACTTCACCTCCAGTCTGCCTGAGCACAGACGAGTCCCGTCCAGCAGCCTGACAGAGTCTGGAGAGATAATAGAAGATGGCCTTTCCTCATTTTCTGGTTTAATAAAACAATTTAAAATCTAAAACTGTAACAGAATATAATGCAGAGCAGCTCTCAGCTTTCAGATATGTTTCTCCTGTAGGTTGTGATGGAAATTTGATATTTTACTCTGTTTCACCCTGCATGCTCCATTATAATATACAAAGGTCTCACTGTATGGTATTTGATATTTTATCATGTTTCAGCTAGGTGAAGCTTCCCATGGGAAAGATGCTCGTTAGAGAAGTTTTCTTATCTGACTGACCTTGATAGGCCTTCAACTCAGGACAGCTGGTCCCTACTCCCTTGCTCTTCTGCTTCCTGAGCAATATAAAGTCACCTGCTCCTTCACTGGCTCTTTGTCTTACAATCTGCAGACTGTTTGGTACTCTGTATGTTTGTCTGACCCTTTGCAAAGAATAAAACCCTTAAAAGACGTCTGGATTGGAATCTTTATTTCAGAAGACTCACTAAAGGACAAATTTCCATTAAAGCTGCAAGCAGCGTTGGGCGGGCCCTCGCACTTGTAAGCGCGTCCGCGCGTGAGCCGGCCGAGTTGCATATTCTGGAGCTCTGCTGGTGCGGCTGTGAATTTCCCACGCGGTTCCGACGCCGCATGAAGGTGTTATATGTCACTTCCTGTGTCCCCTATGTGGAGATACATAGCACTTGCCGCTATGAATATAAATCGGTATTGGCGTGTAGATGTCTGCGGGGTGGGAGAGTTATCAAGCACGTAAAGTTTGTTTCAGATGTGAGCATGTACACTGAACAATAATGTACCCAAACAATAAAATAAATTCCTTTTATATTTCCCTGCCTTGTTGTTTATGTGTACATACAGAGGAAGAATGTGAGAACAGCACACATTTCATCGTTACTGTGTGCTATACCGCAGTTCTGTGTCCATGCATGCAGCAAACTGAAAGCACTGTCTGTCGGAGCGTCTACGTGAAAAGAGAAGGAAGACATGGCTGGTAGTGTCTTCAGAGTTGTTAAACACCTCAGTGCACTGAAGGAAGCCATCTGACTGTGTGAAGGGCAAGATCGTTGATGTCTGCAGGCAGAGTAGGAGCTCTCCTGTCTGACTGGTCCACCAATAGCAGAGAAGATGACCCCTTGAGACACAGCCCCTCCTCATTTGCATAATGAGGCAGAAATTTAAAAAGGACAGGCAGAAATAAATACCATGGGTGAAAATAAATAAGGTAGAAAAATACAAAGGAATAATAAAACAGACAAAAATATTAAAACACACACATAAATAAATATATTTAAAAAATTAGTAATAAATAAAGTTGAAGATTATAACGGAGAATAAATAAATAAGGTAATTATAACAAAGGTGAATAAGTAAAGGCACTAATTAAAATATATACATTTATGTCTCCTTGTATAATTTAATTACTACCTACATTTATTTATTTGCTTTATTTTTTGTGTATTTAATTGGATGCTTATTTATTTATTGAGCACTTATTTATTTCTGTATTTATTTCTGACTGTGTCAGGATCGGTCCTCCATAGCGGGGTGGGAGAGTTATCAAGCACGTAAAGTTTGGTTCAGATGTGAGCATGTACACTGAAGTTACAACAACTTCCTGTGTCGTGGCGAAGAGTTGATCTTTGACGCCACGCCACGGATACGGCCATTGACGAAAACTCGCAAATAGCACAACTTTTCATCTTCAATGCCTTTAGAAGGCACAGCAGAAATTTGACGTCGGTCGGACTAAATCCCTAGGAGGAGTTTGTTAAAGTACGAAGTGTGTAAATCATCCAAAATTTGATATAAAATTCAAAATGGCCGACTTCCTGTTGGGTGTAGGGCATCGCTCCAAGAGGCTTTTTTGTGCGTCTGGACAAGATACACGTATCACAGAAAATTCGTGCACGTAGGTGAAATGTGCGGCGGGGGCTGCTTTGTTAAAAGTCACTTCCTGTTGCCAGCAGGTGGCGCTATGACTGTGGGTGAATATCAGCATGTACATGTGTTCAGGGCGGGACTCTCATCCTACATGTACAGTTTGGTCCAGATGTGAGCATGTACACTGAAGTTACAACAACTTCCTGTTTCATAGCGAATCATCGACGCCACGGACACGCCCATTGACGAAAACGCGCAAATAGCACACTTTTCATCGTCAATGCCTTTAGAAGGCACAGCAGAAATTTGACGTCGATCCGACTAAATCCCTAGGAGGAGTTCGTTAAAGTACGAAGTGTGTAAATCATCCAAAAATGGCCGTAAAATTCAAAATGGCCGACTTCCTGTTGACTTTAGGCTATGGTTCTTGAGGCTTTTTTGTGCGTCTTGATACGATACATTTCCCCAGAAAATTTCGTATATGTAGGTTGAACGTGAACGAGGGGCTAATTTTTTCCAATTTTCTAGGTGGCGCTAGCGAGTCATTTTGCAACGCCCATGTGCGAAACTTGTAGAATACGAAATTTTTCACCGGTTCTGACACGTTTGCAAATTTTGGTGAGTTTTCGAGAATGTTTAGGCCATGTCAGTTGAGCCTACTTTGCAGAAAAAAAAAAAAAAAAAATATATATATAATCCGAGCAAATTCAATAGGGACCTCGCACGGTCGTGCTCGGGCCCTAATTAAAGCTGCAAGCAGCGTTGGGCGGGCCCTCGCACTTGTAGCGCGTCCGCGCGTGAGCCGGCCGAGTTGCATATTCTCGAGCTCTGCCGGTGTGGCTGTGAATTTCCTACGTGGTTCCGACGCCGCATGAAGGTGTTATATGTCACTTCCTGTGTCCCCTATGTGGAGCTTCATATATATATATTAAAAAAATTAGTAATAAATAAAGTTGAAGATTATAAGGGAGAATAAATAAATAAGGTAATTATAACAAAGGTGAATAAGTAAAGGCACTAATTAAAATATATACATTTATGTCTCCTTGTATAATTTAATTAATACCAACATTTATTTATTTACTTTATTTTTTTGTGTATTTAATTGGAAGCTTATTTATTTATTGAGCATTTATTTATTTCTGTATTTATTTCTGACTGTGTCAGGATCGGTCCTCCATAGCGGGGTGGGAGAGTTATCAAGCACGTAAAGTTTGGTTCAGATGTTAGCATGTACACTGAAGTTACAACAACTTCCTGTGTCATGGCAAAGACTTGATCTTTGACGCCACGCCACGGACACACCCATTGATGAAAACTCGCAAATAGCACAACTTTTCATCTTCAATGTCTTTAGAAGGCACAGCAGAAATTTGAAGTCGGTCGGACTAAATCCCTAGGAGGAGTTCGTTAAAGTACGAAGTGTGTAAATCATCCAAAATTTGACGTAAAATTCAAAATGGCCGACTTCCTGTTGATTTTAGGGCATCGCTCTAAGAGGCTTTTTTGTGCGTCTAGACAAGATACATGTACCACAGAAAATTCGTGCACGTAGGTAAAACGTGCGACGGGGGCTGCTTCGTTAAAAGTCACTTCCTGTTGCCAGCAGGTGGCGCTATGACTGTGGGTGAATGTCAGCATGTACATGTGTTCAGGGCGGGACTCTCATCCTACATGTACAGTTTGGTGCAGATGTGAGCATGTACACTGAAGTTACGACAACTTCCGTGTCATGGTGAAGAGCTGATCTTTGACGCCACGCCACGGACACGCCCATTGACGAAAACGCGCAAATAGCACAACTTTTCATCATCAATGCCTTTAGAAGGCACAGCAGAAATTTGACGTCGATCCGACTAAATCCCTAGGAGGAGTTCGTTAAAGTACGAAGTGTGTAAATCATCCAAAAATGGCCGTAAAATTCAAAATGGCCGACTTCCTGTTGACTTTAGGCTATGGGTTCTTGAGGCTTTTTTGTGCGTCTTGATACGATACATGTCCCCAGAAAATTTCGTACATGTAGGTTGAACGTGAACGAGGGGCTAATCATTTCCAATTTTCTAGGTGGCGCTAGCGAGTCATTTTGCCACGCCCATGTGCGAAACTTGTAGAATACGAAATTTTTCACCGGTTCTGACATGTTTGCAAATTTTGGTGAGTTTTCGAGTATGTTTAGGCCATGTCATTTGGGCCTACTTTGCAATAAAAATAAAAAATAAAAAAAATATTAAAGCTGCAAGCAGCGTTGGGCGGGCCCTCGCACTTGTAAGCGCGTCCGCGCGTGAGCCGGCCGAGTTGCATATTCTGGAGCTCTGCCGGTGCGGCTGTGAATTTGCTACGCGGTTATGTCGCCGCATGAAGGTGCTATATGTCACTTCCTGTGTCCCCTATGTGGAGCTATATAGCACTTGCCGCTATGAATATAAATCGGTATTGACGTGTAGATGTCTGCGGGGTGGGAGAGTTATCAAGCACGTAAAGTTTGGTTCAGATGTGAGCATGTACACTGAACAATAATGTACCGAAACAATAAAATAAATTCCTTTTATATTTCCCTGCCTTGTTGTTTATGTGTACATACAGAGGAAGAATGTGAGAACAGCACACATTTCATCGTTACTGTGTGCTGTACCGCAGTTCTGTGTCCATGCATGCAGCAAACTGAAAGCACTGTCTGTCGGAGCGTCTACGTGAAAAGAGAAGGAAGACATGGCTGGTAGTGTCTTCAGAGTTGTTAAACACTCAGCGCACTGAAGGAAGCCATCTGACTGTGTGAGGGGCAAGATCGTTGATGTCTGCAGGCAGAGTAGGCCTAGAGCTCTCCTGTCTGACTGGTCCACCAATAGCAGAGAAGATGACCCCTTGA